CATTCCTCCCTCACCTCCTTCCACTTACCCTTCCCTAGCCCCCCTTCTTATTGATGTACAAAATAAAGATAACGTTTCTTCCAACATTGACTCTGTCTTTATTGAAAAAAACTGGGGGAGACTGGGAAAAGGAGGTGGGAGAGGGGAAGAGAAAGGCTGGGAGAGGGGAGGGCAACTAACATGATCAGGGGTTGGGAACAGGTCCCAGATGAAGAGAGGCTACAGAGACTGGGACTGTTCAGCTTAGAAAAGAGGAGACGGAGGGGGGACAGGATAGAGGTCTCTAAAAGCAGGGGTTGGGTGGAGAGGGTGCATTCAGAAAAGTTCTTCATGAGTTCCCATAAAGAAGGACTAGAGGACACCAAAGGAAAGGAATGGGTAGCAGGCTTGAAACTAGTAAGAGAAAGTTGTTCTTGACAAAGCAAATAGTTAACCTGTGGAACTCCTTGCTGCAGGAGGCTGTGAAGGCTACAACTAGAACAGAGTTTAAAGGGAAGTGAGATCAAGTCATGGAGGTTGGGTCCATGGAGTCCTATTAGCCAGAGGGTAGGAGTGGTGTCCCTGCCCAAAGTTTGTGGAAGGCTGGAGAGGGATGGCACGAGACAAATGGCTTGATCACTGTCTTCGGTCCATCCCCTCCAGGGTCCCTAGGGTTGGCCGCTGTCGGCAGACAGGCTACTGGGCTAGATGGACCTTTGGTCTGACCCAGTACGGCCATACACTGACAGCAGTTTAGGCATTAAACCTGTTAAATGTGATGTAGGTTCAAAAAGGCAGCTTAGAAATACCGCCAGCCAGTTTCCATTCTTCCCTGGTGTGTGTCTGCAGATTTTGCATAGTCCTAAATCAAACCCAGAATCGAAAATAGCTTTCTCAGCTTCTTTAACCAAAATCACTTCAGTCATTTCTATCTAGACTGGATAAAGCCCTAAGGAACATAGGAAACTATCTTGCATTGGAACAACTAGACATGACCAAATGAGGATCATCTCAGAGCGTGAGCCTGCTCCACTGAAGTCAATGGGAGTTTCACTATTAACTTGAATGGGAGAACAATCAAGCCCTAAAACATGAAAGTTCAGTTCTGCAAATAAACCCTGGTATTACTCTAATTTCCCTGCTTTCTCCCCACCCCAGCTGAAATTCTATTGGGAAGGCCTAAACGTGAAGGTATCTCAGCCAAGGAACGCAATGTGGAATTTCTCATTTTCTTACCTGCCCTTTGAAGAGCACGTGTTTTCCCCATCCTTATAATACAGTGGGAAATCATAGAATCATAGAGTTGGAAGAGACCTCAGGAGGTCATTAATCCCAGCCCCCTGCCCAAGGCAGGACCAATCCCAACTAAACCAGCCCAGCCAGGGCCTTGTAAAGCTGAAACTTAAAAACCTCTAGGGATGGAGATTCCACCACCTCCCTAGGTAACCCATTCCAGTGCTTCACCACCCTCCTAGAGAAATAGTTTTTCCTAATATCCAACCTAGACCTCTCCCACTGTAACTTGAAACCATTGCTCCTTGTTCTGCCATCCATCGCTACAGTGAACAGCCTCTCTCCATCCTCTTTGGAACCTCCCTTCAGGAAGTTGAAGGCTGCTCTCAAATCCCCCTTCACTCTTCTCTTCTGCAGACTAAAGAAACCCAAATCCTTCAGTATCTTCTCATAGCCTAATCATTTTGATCACCCTCTGCTGGCTCTTCTCCAATGCGTCCACATCCTTTCTATAGTGGGGGGGCCAGAACTGGACACAATATTCTAGATGTGGCCTCACCAGAGCTGAATAAAAGGGAATAATCACTTCTCTGGATCTGCTGGCAATGCTGCTCCTAATGAACCCCAATATGCTATTAGCCTTCTTGGCTAATATGTTGACACATATCTAGCTTCTCATCCACTGTAATCCCCAGGTCCTTTTCTGCAGAACTGCTACTTAGCCATTCAGTCCCCAGCCTGTAACAACGCTTGGGATTCTTCTGTCCCAAGTGCAGGACTCTGCACTTGTCCTTGTTGAACCTCATCAGATTTCTTTTGGCCCAATCCTCTAATCTGTCCAAGTCACTCTGGACCCTATCTCTGCCCTCAAGCATATCTACCTCTCCCCCAGCTTAGTGTCATCTGGGAACTTGCTGAGGGTGCAATCCATCCCCTCATCCAGGTCATTAATAAAGATGTTGAACAAAACCAGTCCAAGAACAGATCCCTGGGGCACTCTGCTAGAAACCAACCGCAAACCTGACATCGAGCCATTGATCACTACCCATTACAGCCCTCTGAAATGCTGTAAAGCGAACACCTTCAATGATACTATTTCAGCCCTGAACTAGTCCTGTGTCACAAAACAGCCAGGCAATATTGCAGCCAATTCTTCTGCTGTTCTGCCAATTCCTGCTACTTAACTAGTGACAAGGCCTCTCACATAGGCACTCTAGCCACAAATGGTGTAATCTTGGGACAGCACAAGTGCTAGTGACAGAGGGTGATTATATAGACAGAGCACTAAGGTTTTTATAGCTAACTCTGGCATTCCCCCTATACTCTGTTTTATCCCTTTGCCCTCCCAACTCAGCATTTGGCAGTACTATCACAAAACCATGTTCAGTAGGGAGAAGGATCATTTCTAAGATTGCTGTAAAAACAGTGTTTGGGTCTGTATTTGCTCATAGTTTTGGGGTTGTTATTTTTCTGATTTAGAATAATCAATGTATGTGATAATAAATTGGCATGTATCAAGTGGCAGGGGAAAACTTGGAGAATAGGGGCTTAAACAAGGAGAAAACTCAGGATTCTCACAAACAAAAAGGGGGTAAAGGATGGACTTGGTCACACACCGAAGTGATGGAAAGAATTAGGGGGCCCAAAAGATAGAGCAGACTGAGATTATATAAATAGAAAAGAGAAGGAGAGGGAGATAGAAAACTTTAGACAACAAAGGAGTGGATTAGACTAAAGAGGTGATAATGACGTTCTCTTGACAAGTCAGGCCTAAAACAGATAATAATAAGCACAACAGAACTGAGAAGAGAATGAATAATGGGGAAGAAAGCATCTTCATGTCAAATGGGAAGGTGGAATAAAGGAGGCACTTCAAAGGAATGATCAGAGTTGAAGCATTTTTGTTGTAATTAGCTCCTAATGCTTTCAGATAGGGAAAACATGGCACTTGGATGGGGCATCTGATTCAGTAAGGTGTATGTGGTAAGGACATAGAGGCTAGATGCTACAGACCAGGTGTTTGTGGCAGGGAAGGATTGCATAGATGGTGGAACATTGGGAAGATCAGGATTAGATACAGCTGGTTGGCCCTGAGGAAGAGGGGGAGTGCATTAGGTTAGTTAATAGTTCTCAACCTGTGGTCCCGACTCCTGAAGTTCATAGACTATGTCTAAGGGTCCATGAAATATTTTTGTTACCACAGAACAGTGGTTTTCAACCTATGGTCTGCGGATCCCGGGGGTACTCAGCCTATGTCTAAGATTTCTAATTGGCCCATACCTCCACTTGAAATTCTTAAAGGTCCACAAATGAAAAAAAGTTGAGGACCCTGCTGTTAGGGTGCAACTGGGAGGGTTTACTAGATCAATTGCAAATGTGTAAGGGCTGCATACAAAGGAATATATTTTCTATAGTAAGTCAGTCTCAACCTGTGGTCCCGACTCCTGAAGTTCATAGACTATGTCTAAGGGTCCATGAAATATTTTTGTTACCACAGAACAGTGGTTTTCAACCTATGGTCTGCGGATCCCGGGGGTACTCAGCCTATGTCTAAGATTTCTAATTGGCCCATACCTCCACTTGAAATTCTTAAAGGTCCACAAATGAAAAAAAGTTGAGGACCCTGCTGTTAGGGTGCAACTGGGAGGGTTTACTAGATCAATTGCAAATGTGTAAGGGCTGCATACAAAGGAATATATTTTCTATAGTAAGTCAGCGAAAGATCCGCCTGCAGTCTAGACGCGATCTTTTGAAAGAGGCTCTTTCGAAAGATGCTTTCGAAAGAGCCTCTTTCGAAAGAAGCCTGCAGTCTAGACATAGCCTTAGTGCTGCTCATTAAAAGGCTTTGACTAAGAACATAAGAATGGCCCACACTAGGTCAGACCAATGGTCTATCTTCTAGTTCAGCATCCTGTGTTCTCTGACTGTGCCACGGTTAGGACTAGCTGCTTCAGAGAGAATGAACAGGACAGGACAATCATTGAGAGATCTATCCCCTGTCATCTGGTCCCAGCAACCGGCAATGAGAGGTTTAAGAACACCCAGAGCACGGGCTTGCACCTTTCACCAGCTTGAGTTATAGCCACTGATGGACCTGTCCTCCATGAATTTATCTGATTTTTTTTTAAACCCAGTTTTATTCTTGGCCTTCACTACATGCCCTGATGATGAGTTCCACCGGTTGTCTGTGTACTGTGTGAAGAAATGCTTTCTTACATTTGTTTTAAACCTATGGCCTATTAATTTGTTTGGGTCACCCCTAGTTCTTGTGTTAGGTGAAAGATAAATAGCACTTCCCCATTCACTTTCTTCACTCTGTTCTGATTCAAGGACAGATTATGAATACTTTGGTAAGACTGGGACTTTTCGTTCAAATATTTAATTTAATTTAATTAAAAC